TTGCACTTGTTCTTGAGAATTTTTGTAAGAAATTTCACTTTTTAATCTTTTGACATTTCTAATTACTTGAAAATCAACATCTAAAATTTTTTTGCTGTCACAAAGTAACACCCGATTTTCCTGTGTAATGATACAATGCATTTACACAGCCTGTTTCTCCCCTTTTTTGTATAACTTTCTCATCTATTTGTTTTTTTATGACTTTACAAACATTTTATAATGATTTTATGATTAAAAAATGGCATCTACTCCATCTACTTGCACACAATTAACATCCCAAGATAAAGGAAAAATCTTGGCATACATGGAAACTTTGAATGCTGTTCAAATCACAAGAAAAATGGGGCGAGATCCTACCACAATATGTTGGTTTATTGCCAAATACAAGGAACTGGAAAAATCAAAACTTACCACAATTGGGACGACCTCCTGTCCTCAATAATAATGAGAAGAATGTGCTTGTAAATGAAGTCATAAAGAAACAATGTTTGCCATTACATGAAATTATAAACATGTTGGATTTAAACTGTGGTCTAACGACTGCTAAAAAAACAATATATGATGCTGGAATTCATTCCCACTCTGCTGCAAAAAAGCCTTTTATGTCAGAAGGACATGCATCTGCTCATATTAATTGGTGTGAAAAACACAAAGAAAAAACTGCCTATTATTGGACACAAGTTATTTTTCAGACGAATCAAGTGTGGAAATTGGGAAGCAGTCATGGCAAATAAAAATTTGGCAGTGTGAAGGAGAAAGGTTTAATATAGAGTGCTTAGCACCCACCTTTAAAAGTGGTCGACAGTCAGTAATGATTTGGGGGTGATTTGCGGGAGGGATAAAAGGTCCATTAGTATTTTGTGATGAAGTAAAAGGAAAAGAAAGAATCAATTCGGATACTTACATTACAATCTTAAAAACATATCTATTGCCATATCAGCATGTAGTTCGTGAGTTGACAGGAGGTTCTGTGGTTTATCAGCAAGACAACGCACCGATCCATACTTCAAAAGCAACCAAGGAATGGCTAAGGACTAATAAAATTGCAACTATTGATTGGCTGGTGAATTTGCCAGACCTGAACCCGATAGAGAACATTTGGAAGTTGTTAAAGGATAATATCCAAAAGCATGAAGACTTTCCGAGAACTGTGAACAAACTTAAAATTGCATTGAGAAGGGAGTGGGAAAATTTGGATCACTCTGTTTTTGAGAAAGTTGTTACCAGCATAGTGGACATTCGTTTTATCACATGTGACAAAATCGATCATTGATCTTTTTTATGTTGTGAAACATATGACTT